AATTTTGACAACCACCCATATGAATCCTATTACTTTTGGGTTACAGGGCCAGGGTTTCTCAATCACCCTGAGAGTCCAAGTACCTAATCATCATACACTCTCCCAAATAGTAACCTACATAACTACTATCCGAAACCTAAGTACGTGATTATTGGGTCCTTTGGACCCTTGGGGTCAGGTTCCTACCTATAGTCTCCATTGTAGTTCCTTTTTGTGGCTTAGCCAAATATATTTTAAGGTTTCCAAAAGGTACCCCCAGAAAGGAACTACAATGGAGACTATAGGTAGTATACCCTAAACCCTAAACCCTACACCCTAAACCCTAAACCCTAAAGCCCCAATATTACATTAGCCTGGGATCCCCAAAGTGTCTTGCTCCGTAGGCCCTGGCCGAGGCTCTCCGACAGGTGTGTTTAGGCTTTAAGCTTAAGTTTGGGTTTAGGCTTAGGGTTTAGGGTTTAGGGTTTAAGGTTTAGGGTTTAGGGTTCAGGGGTTTAGGATGTAGGGTGTAGGGTTTAGGGCTTATAGTTTAAGGTGTTTTTTGGGTTTAGGGCTTGTAGTTTAGGGTTTATGTTGGGTTTTAGGGCTTATAGGCGTGGAGTGTAGAACGTATCCCTGGACAAGACACATGGGTGATCGATGGCCATCAAGATCCTCAGCTCCTGAAGCATCTCCTCAGAGGAGACAGACTCAAGAGCTAGTGGGCTTGAGTACCGTAAGAGCCTTAAGAATTAGAATAAGGTTTTGGGGTCTACTAGACTGTAAATGCTAGTGGCCTTCGGTAATGTAAGAGCCTTAATAATCAGAATAAGGTTTTGGGGTCTACTAGGCTATAAATGAAATAAGGAATCCCGCAAGAGCAGAATTGGTGGTTATTTAGGCCCCTGTATTACGTCTAGCTGCTAGCTAGGTTCGAAGCTGCAGTCCCATAAGACTACAACCCCAGGGGTGTAAGAGAGGAAACAAAACGCAGGAGTACCCAAGGATAGAAACCCTAAACCCTAAACTAAACCCTAAACCCTAAACCCTAAACCCTAAACCCTAAACCCTAAACCCTAAACCCTAAACCCTAAATCTTGGGGGCTTTTCAGTATGCTGTCGCCGAGCGGGACTCCTCAAAGCACACAAAGCCGTAAAAAGAAACAGGAACTGTTCCTGTAGACCCAGACCCACGAAATGGCAAGTTATGACCCCCCCACAACAGATTACCGGTTATCATCTGAAGAGAGCAGGAAGCCTATGCCGAAACTGCCAAGTCTCGCGTAGGGATGCCTCATAGGCATTCTCGACTCGCTCGTCTTGTTGCGGGAACCGGTCATGCTTGATGCTTTTGGTGGCGACCTCAGCGCCCGCGTGCTGGGTTCCGGCTCGAGGTCGGTTTCCGAAGGGTTTGGGGTTTCGGCAACTTCCCGTCTCTCTTGCTGGACTGCTGGGGGATCCTTCTCCCAAAAGCAGACTGTTCTCACTTCAGAAGCTAAGAGCCACGATCATGGGAGCAAGGGCACTTGTTTTGGTCGGCTCGCCGCGCGCTTCATCGACGGATGTAGAGCCGAGGCGGCCGACTGCTCGACATGGTTGGCTTTCGGCCAACTGTAGCAGATTGGATGCTGCGCCCTAAACCATCAACCCTAAACCCTAAAGTGGTATGGACACGGACACTGTACAGATTAGGACGCGTCTGCACGCGCATCTCAGATCAAAGCGACTTCAGGTCCGAATGGACATCAAAGCAGGTGCCTATGTAACGCTCGACCAGCAACTCACGGGCTTCATCCAAAGCCGTCCCTGCACCCTTATTGAGCTCATTGCACGCGACGAGACATGCAAAGTTCTTCTTGGGTGCCACCCAGACCTGGCAAAGCCAGAAAGTGTTGGAACCCGCGTGCTGAAGGACCGGACCATCTCCCCACTCCTCCGTTGTCACGATCCAGCCCCGGGAATACTGGCTTTTCGAATCAAAGACCTGGTGCAGCTTCGTGAAGGTTGAGGGCTTCAGAAGAAGGCCCTCCTCGCCCCGGGCGCCGCGCAAGTGCATAGAGACGAACCGAGCCCAGTCCTTGAGGCTCATGTGGAGGCCCCCTGCTGGGCGAACTGCTTCAGGGTTATCTACCCCTGGGTAGGCTTTTCCCTGCTGATGCCCCCAGGGCTCGTCGCACTCATAGGGTGAAGCACAGATGCACCGGGTTTCCCCTGATTTCGTGCCCGGTGCTCCAAAACCGATGCTCGTCATCTTCAAGGGAGCAAACAGCTTCTGGGTGATTACCTGGCGCGATTCTTATAAAAGTTCGGGGTATCTTCAATCTGGGTGGGGGTCCACGGACGATGCAACGATCCTACTGAAAATTAAGCACCTGGTGGAGTCCATATTAAGGGTTCCCTGGGTTTTCGAAAGCTCCCACCTCCTCCCAGCATCGTCCCGTGACGGCTGCCACAACAGAGCCGAGCAGCATGTAGCCACCGTTGGCATACCTGGGCTTTGAAGTAACCAGGGAGAAAAAAGTACAGACTTTTATTTTATAATGGCTCCTTTAACGAACAGGTCCCAATAAAATGTGTTAAAGTATGGTACTCCAAAGCCCAGATACTCATACTCACCGAGTTTTCCCGGCGGTCGCTGAAGCACCCAGTCCACAAATAGGCACCGTCCCGTCACCCCGTCAGGTGCTCTCCATAAGTCTTTCCAGATGCTGTGTTTCAGCAAATCTCCGGGGACGCCACCGGTATGGCACATCAGATGATCCAAGGTCACTTGATCCCAACCTTCATGTGCGCGGGCGCCGGACGAAACTTTCAGATAGCTGGTGACTGCTGCGCCCAGTGACAAAACTCCCTCCTCTTCCAGCAAGGCGATCAGGGTTGCAGTCATGGCTTTGGTACAAGAGCCGAGGTGCCATCGATCGGAGAGCTGGATGGGAATCCCCCTGCCCAAAGCGCGAAGGCCGCAACATCCCTCAGCCAAGACTTTGTCGTCCGAGATCACCAGGCAACCCATACCCGGCAGGTTGCTCCTCTTGCGGATCGGTTCCAGCAAGTTTCCGATGCCCGACGTGTGCGATCGGCCCGAAATCTGAGCGCCCATCCGGAACTACAAAGCCAGCTGGAACTCGCAGAAGAAGGAAGGCTTCTCAAACCCTAAAGCCTTGAGCCCAGATCCGGTCTCTCGAAAACTCATGCCGGAAACATGGGAAAGTACTGCAGGCATGCTGGACTCTAAACCCTCAGAGCAATGATCTCTGGCTGCTGCTAGAAGGCCTGGGCCCTTGCAAACATGCTAAGAAACAGAAACTGTATGACTGCATAGCATCCACAACACTCTCGTAGTGCTCAGTGATCCTCAATGGTACTGCAAGTAGTAGTAGTAGTAGTAGTAGTAGTAGAAGAAGCAGTAGTAGTAGTAGTAGTAGTAGTAGTAGTAGTAGTAGTGGAGTAGTAGTAGTAGCAATAGTAGTAGTAGTAGTAGTAGTAGTAGTAGTAGGAGTAGTAGTAGTGGCAGCAGTAGCAGAAGCAGTAGTCGCAGCAGCAGCAGTAGCAGCGGCAGCAGCAGCAGCAGCAGTAGCAGCAGTAGCAGTAGCAGTAGGAGCAGTAGTAGTAG